ATTACATTAGCTTTAATTTAAGATATATATAAAAGTGTCAGACCTTCCGGAACATTTTCAAAAGTTAAGTTGAAAAAGTTAATTTTTTGTGGAAAAGTTGTCATTTTAAATCCCCCCCTGTGGGCAGAAAAAAGGTTCAATTTACAAAAAATATATATTAAATGATAGGTAAAGACATCAAGCATCTATAAAAAAAAAAAATTATAGTGATATGTTCATTTTTGAAAAAGTTACGGCAGTTTTTAGTAAAAAAAATTGAAAAAATTTTGAAAATTAGCCATTTTTAAATTTGTAATTTTTTTGGAGGTTTCCCCCATTTACGGGGAACGAGGGAAATTTTTTCAATTTTTAAGGGTAATGTCTTCGACTAGATACGATTTGTGATCTTTTGACGTATCGTTGAAGGAAATCCGTTCGGTGAGAGCTGAGAAAAAGTGGTAACAGACATAAAAAAAAAAAAAATAAATAAATAAAATAAACACATCATAGTAAAACCAATACCTTCTCAGCTTCGCATCGAAGCTAAAAATAAGAGTTTATGTTGCTTTTGGAATAATCCACCAATTTCTCTAAATGAAACACTATCTACAGATTTGCATCGAAGCGTTTCTTATGATAGTGATTTTAATCACTGTCAAATATCATCTATACTTGTCCCATCTATGCCTCGTCCACACTGTGTCTCGACCCTACTGTGCTACCGTTTTTATATTCATAAATTTATGTCCATAATCAAAGTAACTAAATTTTAAAATTATTAAAAATTATTAACTTATGAAATTTAATAACACTTCTAACTCCTTATTTAATATTTTAATAGCCGAAGAATGTCCACTTTGCTATGAAAACAGAAATCCTACTTATTATTTTGACAAATGTAGCCATCGAGTATGTGATATTTGTGCCGATAAACTAATAATTAAAAAGATTTATAAATGTCCGTTTTGTAGAAGATTAAGAAAAAAATTTTATGAAAATAAAGGTATTTAGTGTAGTTATATTTATAATAATATTATTTATACTTGATGATTTTTTAATAGTAATTTTAATTTTTTCTTTTTTTTCTTTTAGAAGTTGTGAAAAGTAAGTGGTACACTTTAGAAATTCTCGCTGCTGCTTATTACTTAAAGACATGTATTTATGTATATGATTATTCATTTAATGTTTGGATTTTACTTCGGAACTCGTATACTACATTTGATTCTAAAAATGAAAAATGTATTTATTTATATTTAACCAAAAATCGTATGGGTGTCGTTACTAATCTTACTTCACCTTGAATATTTTTTTAATTATGTAAAATTTACAACTGAATAAATCTGCAAAATATATATTTTGTATTTTTTTTTTTTTTTGTGAAATTTGTACCTTTTAGGAGCGTGATATGGCCCAGTGGATCAATTTGTCGCCTTAGCGTTTACGTTCATTTTCCGTATGGTCATTCATACGGAGACTTTAACAGTGTTACACGCTTTGCCCCATTCTTGTTCCCCCAGACATAATGAGGTTGCCCAGATCGTTAGCCAGTGTAATGTTTCGTCAAATCGTCAAGGCACAGCCGACCCTAAATAGTTGATATAGAGGCTGTGGTAATGATGATGATTTATGTTAAACATTTGACACCGTTCTTAGCATCGTCTTCGTGGAAATTATTCAAAGCAGTTCAGAACATTTCACTATGAACGATAGCAAGCCCGCCGCGGTATATATCTAACTATTCCACAAAACAATCAGCAAAAATTTCTTCAATTTCAACCACAATCTGACCATGTAGTATACTAACATGAGTGAAAATAAATTTTAAACTGTTATCTTAAATAATATTACTGTACCCAGTGTGTTGTTTTGATGATATCGAAAAAATAACTATGAAAATGTTGAATTTCTTTAAAAAGAAATGTATAACATATGACATTAAATATATATACAATTACTTTGTAGTAAGCATATCTACAAGGTAAAAATACAATGTATAGTCATACTTAATAGTAATAATTAAAATTATTGAACTATATAATTGATTAGTAAATAAGTTTTATATTAACTTAAAATCAGATTTTAATTTAAATAAATGATAATTTATTTTTGTCCTATAACAAAAATTTAAATAGTCATTATTTTAATTTCGATTCTTTATCGATTTTGGAATGTTTAACAATAGAAATAACATTTTATTAATGGTGTATTGAAATAAATTTAACAACAATTGTCAATAAAAACCTGTTTATATGACAGCATGAACAAATAACGACTTCTATCGTCATTTCTTAATTGCAAATTATAATTTGCGATTAAGTATATACTTTAAAATTTTTAATTTTTAGTCATAATTATCAGTAAAAATTGTCAAAAATCACTAAACTTTAACAAAAGAACAGTTTATTAAAGAAAAAATATTATAATAACTAAATTTACAACTTATAAAGATCAACGGATAGTTATTGATAAAATTCAAATAATCATCAACAACATGTCTACATTGGTGTAATATTGAAAAATCAAGGTTAATAGGAAAAAATCACTATGCGTTAATTTTAATTTACTCTCACATTTCATTATTATTGAATCAACAGATAATGACACAAAAATATGCACTTAATATCACGGGAATGTACGGTAATTGCCGCCTTAACTGAAAACACTAAGTACTATCATTAGAAAACAAACGTTCATTATACCTAATGATTATAAAGTGATTTTTACAAAATGCTTATCTTTTTGATTTAAACTCGTAGTATTAAAAATAATACTGATACATTTAAACTATTAATAATAGGATACCCAAATTTTTAATAAAAGTATTGAATGAAATTAAATTATTACTCTGCATTAAATAAACTGGTACATCAAAACCTTAGTAAGAAATTAATACCTTACATATACATGACTTACGTATATTTTACTCGATACATTAAACAAATAAAATTTTTCCCTAAAAAAAAAAATGAGCTAAATTTTTTGTGTAAATGTGAACTAATTTCAACCATTCTTTTTTTGTTACGAGTAAACCCCAGGGGGCCTATTTTTGAATCGTCCGTTCCTCGAACGGTCACGATCATTGAACGGACACGTTCGTCAAACGGATTATATTGTTCAATTAGGTACACGGCCTTCTAGGTATTGTTCGATGAACATTTATGTTCCATGATTGTTTGCAATTTATTGTAATAACATAAATAAATATTTCGAAAGTTAAATTTATACAACTTGATTTTTAATATTAAAATATTTATTTTTAATTAATATATTATTTTTTTAATAACAATAATTTATTACTAACACATACATTTATAATTTGCTAATTTAATTTATTTGATGTGAATTTATTTTAAGTAATTCGCCAAAACTATACAAATAATTTAATTACACAAATTCTAAAAAAAATGTATTTACAATTGCATATAGTTAAATTAAAAATTATTAATACACTTTAAAACAGCAATACTTACATTTTCGAAAATAAAGTGGTACATATATTTTGTATAATTTTATTTTATTTATTCATTTTAAGATTAATTAATATTATTTATTAAATTATGTTATATATAAATAAATAATAAATTTAATAAGATTTTAGTTCTTAATTCGAAAAAATGTCACCCTAGGTCACGGTCTACCCCTAAATACGCCACTGTTTGGAAAAGTTGTTAACATATAATTACATGAATAATTTTCACAAAAAACTTAAGGTAAATTTTCAAAAGATTGTTTATTACGAGGTGCAAGGATGCTACAATAACCGGCTTTTCGTCTTATTATATAAAATTCAGTACCAACAAAATAATTGTTACACATATTACGAGTTTCAATTAATATTACTGAGTAATCATAATATAATATTATGTTTAAATTTATTTAACATATTAATTGAAAAATGGAAATTAATTTATAACAGTGAATATAATATTTTAATATTTTGTACTTTTTTTTTAGACAACGTAATATTTAAAACATAAATATTACTTTCTTCTGCACGTGGTAAAAATCCCCTATAAATAAATGATTATATATACAATGTACATATGAATGAGGTTTATACAGACTTCAACTCATGTTGACACCAATAACTATGTAAGAAGCTCATAAATTTGATTATTTAATAATTGGGTCTAAAATAGACCAAACAATTATTAGTTAAAATTTTAACCATAACGTAACTCTTATCTTAATAATGTTTGATCGAGTCATTCGGAAATTAGCTTTCCTTTAGTGGTTGTGTATTTCCTCCGATCATCATTCATTAATTACTACCATATTTTATGATATTTATTTTCTTCTTGTGTATTAAATTTACAAGCTATATCGGTTTATATTTTATTAAGTAATTAAAATATATACTTATGTTATTAACAAAAAAATTACTATAACTTGAGAATAATTCTTAAGTTAAGGATCAATTATTAATCCTTAATAATAAATTTAATTTAAAAAAAAACCCGAAACAATAAAATAGCTATGTAGAATTTATAACTCAATTTTTTGTTTTTAATGTTTGTTTTAATACAAGGTATTTTATTGTTGCATTTATCATGGGAATTATATTAAATGATGTGATTTTTGTTTTTATTACTCAATTATCTCAAAAAAATGTTTTGCTGTACTTAATGAGATAGTAATCAAGTTATATGTATCATTCATGAGCTGTAAGTTGCCTTAAAATAATTTGGAAACGCATTTTATAAATGAATTTTAAAAAGCATCTTTAATCGTATTTTACGAATGAATTAAAAGAATGCATCTTTAAATGCATTCTGCATTTAATAAATAAATACTTTTATAAGTATATAATATATATATTAGGGTGGCTCAAAAAAAATCGATCTTCGAAATGTTTATGAGATACCNATTCACTTGATATTTAAAATATAATTTGCGTTAACTATTAAAAGTATAGTTCTTCAAAGAGGTACGCTGTATTTGACCTCAAATTTTATGTGAGAGGCCCATGAAATTTAAGTATAAATTTAATGTTATACGATATAAAAAATAAATATTATAATAACAACTTATTGTATAAATAAATATGATAACATAAAATGCATACATAAATATACCTAAAAATTTTGTGTCTGTTACCACTTTTTCTCAGTTCTCACTGAACCGATTTCTTTCAATGATACGTCAAAAAATCACAAATCGTATCTAGTCGAATACATTACCCTCAAAAATTGAAAAAATTTCCCTCGTTCCCCGTAAATGGGGGAAACCTTAAAAAAAATTACAAATTTAAAAATCGCTAATTTTCGAAATTTTCGAAATTTTTTTTACTAAAAACTGTCATAACTTTTTTATAAATGAACATATCAATATAATTTTTTTTTATAGATGCTANACTTTTTTATAAATGAACATATCAATATAATTTTTTTTTATAGATGCTAGATGTCTTTACCTATCATTTGGTATATTTTTTTTAATAAATTTGACCCTTTACGTACTCACAGGAGAGATTCAAAATAACAACTTTTTCACAAAAAATTAACATTATCATCTTAACATTTAAAAGTGTTCTTGAAATATTGATACTTTTATATATATCTTAAATTAAAGCTTATGTAATATACTTTATTATGAAAAACAAATTTTTGTACTTTATTTTGTTTTATGGTGAAAACGGACTTCAAAGTTCATGAAAAAATACGATTTTTGTAAGAAAATTCTTTTTTATATTTTTAAATATTATGCTATAACTTTTTGAAAAATTTACGGATCATTACAATTTTTTTAAGTTAAGTACTATTTATATACTTCTTTTATGCGATATACTTTTTTTTTAAAACGGACTATTTCCCTTTATACAGTTAGGGTTCAAATCTAAAAAATGCGTATTGAACTTTGTCAACTTATTTTTAATTAAATATATTTATTGATTATTCATACGTAATCTAAAAATAAAACATAAATATTTGTTATATTAATTAGAAGGATTTCGTTATAATTTAGGTCATATGTGAAACTCTAAATGCAGATTTGAAATATGTGCAAAAATGTGTTTAGAAAAGTAAATTTTGGTCTCGGATGAAAATTCCTTTTAGACCAGGAAATAAATTTATAAATAACAAGCAATTTTTTTTTTTAAGTTTTGCATTAAGTCTTAATTTTTTTATAAGTATTTCATAAAAGTAATAACTACTTTATAATTTTCTATAATTTCACTATAAAAATTACAATACTTAATTATTACTTAATTATTTTCATACTATATATAATTGATTAATAGCATTACCTGTTCATACTAAAAAGGGTTATACAAATTATTTCTTCAAGTGTCACTTTGTTTGGCTCGACAAGGAAATTAAAAATTTCCATGGTAGTCAAGGTTTCATGATGTTAATCTACATACAAACCACCATGGATTAATATTATCAGGTCAAAAATATACAAAATCGCACTAACATATCTAAAATATTCCATTCGATCTTTAAACTAAATTTTATTGAAAAATTTCCCTATTCCATAGTAAATTCCCTCGAATCTGGTATTACTAATAATACCCTCATTTTTTCATAAAAATGTATTGAACAAAATTTTATTTCTATATATGAATTGTGATTAAAACAGTTTTATTGTAGGAAATAAGTATTTCTAAGGGTAATTTTAGAAGAAAATGTTGACAACTTTATAGAATATTATATATTTTTTACTATTAAATGGAAAATGGTCTCAATAAAATGTTGATGGATCGATATCTAGTTGTGAAAAATTATTTTTTGAGGTATAGGCGAGAGAAGTGTGCAACGTAGTAGAAATATTATCTGTACGTTATGAACGTCCCTAAATGTTGCCCCGACTTACATATCTTCTATATTTTTTGATACAACAAATTCTAATAGTAACATTACAAAACTGGTTATCCAACCAGTCAACATTTTATCCAAATCATTGTTCAATTAATAGCAAAATAGTATTAAGTTCTATTTAATTTTCAAAAGTTATTCATAAAATTTTTTTTTGCTACAATAAACTTGATAATTACTATGATTCATAAAAAATAATCAAATTTTAATCTTTAATTTAATTTTTAAGAAAAAAATGAGGTTAATATTTTTAATAAATAACACTGTGTATAAAATTATAATAAAACAATAACTTAGCTTAAAAATCACATTTAATCTACAAATAGTAATACTAATAATAGTAATTTTATGAATTATAATTATTATCCTAAAACTTTTTTAAAATTTTTTTCCTAAAAAAAACAAATAAACAATTATCATTATTCTAACAATAATTTGATCTGTAGCGAGAAATTAGTGACAATGATAACATAAAATATTTTTTGTAAAAAAATTCAAATATTCAACAATACGATGATCATAAAACAACTGTAGAATATATTTTCACTAATATAATTTATATCGATTGATACCCATGTAACGTTATCACACAACATACACTCAATCTTAGCTGAAAAATATAAGTATCATTCGGCTTCTAGTACTTTTAATTAATAATTTGCTACTACAAAAATATTATTAACTACTGTACATTAAGCTACAAGAACATATTTTTGTCATTAAAAATATACAATTAATATGGCCTAAACCTGATCAAAACGTCAGATAGGCCTTTAAAATATATTATAAACAAAAGTATCTTAATTCTTTATTAAATCATAATAATAAAATACAAACAAAAAATGTCAAATTATCAACAATAACGATATTGATTATTGTCCGGTACAGTAAAACATGATTATTTATTATATAACATTAATAAACGTCAACAATTAAGATACGAATTTATAAATTTACCTAAATATTATGCATCGAAAAAGATGCCTAACAGTGAACAATGAAAATTTTAACAGTAAGAAATGTTTTATACAATAGTATTCATAATATACATATCATCTTTACAGATTATAGACATTATTTGTATTATATGACCACCAAAGATGTATTCGTTGTGGTCACTAGCTTGGCAGGAACAAATTTTCAGTATTCAGGAATATTTAGGAAGTATAGGAATCTAAGTAAGATCACTTTTTGTTTAGAAAATAAAAGACGATCTTGCACATCAAACGTACTACGGTTATTTAAACATACCATTCCTTTACATCCTGTCTTTTTTTCGCACCTGGCTTGTTAGTTCGAAAATCGTTGTGCACGTATGTTGCAGATGATGCACTTGGAGATGGTTGTATGCTAGATGAAGAAAAGTAATTTCCTGGTGATAGCAAAGGATTGGAATTGTGATGAAGATGACTATTATGATGGCTGTTACGGAGGTGACTGTCCCCATGCTGTAAGTGATGTCGATCTGATTCTACTATTGTTGGATATGCTTTGGGTATTTCAATCTTGTATCTATTTGTATCTGTACGATATTTAACTTTTAGCACTACTAATATAATTAATACAATAACTATGAGCGTTCCAGTAGTAACTAGTACTACGTATGCCGTGCTCTCAGCAGCTTCTGTGTTGATTGGCACGTCTCTTTTGGTAGGTTCTGTTGGTTGTGGATGCGCAGCAAATCTATCGCCAAAATCCGGAGGCATAGACGATGAATGCCACTTGTAATCAAAGTTAGATTCATCTGGCACTGTATTGTTAAATTGCGAAGGTGTGCTACTGATCCCGGACGATAATCGGCCATTATCCGTTGACATGGCAGGAATGAAACTTGTTGTTATGAGAGGTGGAAACGATGGCCATGCTGTTGTTGATTTGATTCCTGATGTCGATGGCGATAGTGAAGAACTGTAAAATACTGGAGGAGTTGGCTGAGAACTTTCATCTGGTCGCCGGTTAGTAGGGACAACTCCCAATGATAATGTTCGATTAACTGGTTCAATTGAAGTAACAATGGATGAATGATGAGTACCTAAAAATGTTCCCGATTTAGTCAATGATTTCATAAAAAAAGCAACATTTTATTTATCTATTATGTTTAATGTTTTATAAACGCTATTACTTTCGTTAAAAATGATTAGACAACTCTCGGTACCTAAGTACCGAGACACGACACTTTACATATATTATAATTAAATATTATATTGAAATAATTAAAGTAAGTAAATTTACTTATGCTTATAATAATATAAAAAGAAGTTACTTTTAATTGCTGTAAAAACTGTCACTGGTGGTGCTTCTGGAGTTGGACCAAACCCGGAACCCGAAGTGTTACATCCCGTTTCTTCATCATCATCATTACAGCCACCTTGTGGTCCAGATTCGGGGGGTGCCGGTAAATCTATACTCAATGGAGGTGGTGGTACTGCAGTAGCTGGCACATAGACAGGTGTAATCAAGTCGTCTAAAATTTAAAAATACATTAAGACAATAAATTTTGCTTTCATGTGTATAGTATACAAAAGTTAATTAAAAATAAATTTAAATGTATCTTACCAGTACCACCTGAGTCAAATGTCGCTATACACTGATCTTCATCGTCATGATTACAACCTGAACCTGCACCAGAGTATACAAGGTCATCCATTACTCCTGAAGCTGGTGTCTATTATTATACAATATTATTTAGTTTATTCAAGATTATTATTTTAAATTTTAACAAAAACATTTTCATTATGAAATTCTATCTTACCTGCTGCATTGTATCCAAAAGAGAATGCTCATTGAGTCGATCAGCTATAGATGATAGCATTTGTACATCCCCTCTGCTTGTAATTCTTGTGTCACCATTAGTGGCTATGTCTAATACTCTCAATCCGTTAAATACTAATCCCATCATAACTCCTCGAAATCCATTTTCAATTCGTTTACCGGTTCTATTCCATTGGCCTCCAACTTGAATGATTGACTGACCGTTAAATACATTTAGTTGATGCCCGGAAGGATAGTGAGTTTGCACACTATTTTCATCTACTTGTAATGTAGAGTTTGGCCCATTTCGCGTGAACCTTACCAAATGAAACGTATTGTCATCAACCTTCACATTGGCTTCCCCAATCGGATGATCGTTTGTACCTATATTGTATATTACGATAACGTTTCCATTGACCTTAGCAAAATTAAAAGTAATATTATTTAAGTTTTAATTAAATTATTTCATATAAATTTATGTAATTTTTTTAACGTAATTACTATTTCAAGCTGTAAATAATCGGTGGATGTGCCACTGTCGACTCGTAACAGTACGCCACTCGATTGAGAAGTGATCAAACCTACAGCAAGCTGATCATTTTGTACATCTGGTTGTCTTCCTTCGGGAAACGAGTAACTTATCATACCTCCATCTGGTCCAAACTCATAGGAAATGGAAGCTACGGTCAATATATACATTTTATTATAATAATAATTAATATAGTTACAAAAATATTTAATACATTTCAAAAAATATACATATTGTTGCACATAGATTTACTTACGTTCAGAGCATGTGGGACCAACGAATGCTGTCATATCACAGTCACAAGAGTATGAATTCCATTGTTCTACACAAGTTCCATGATTGTCGCACATATCTCTAGCACACATACGACCTAATCCTACAAAAAAGAATAAGTTAACAATACATTTTTTATATTACAATCATTGTTATTAAATTAAGATTCAATACATAGCTGAGAAGGTGTTGGTTTTACTCTGTTTTTTATCTGTTCACGCAATTACTTAGCTCTATTGGATTAATTTTACTCAAAAATACGATAAAAGATATACATAATTTCGAAATAAATTTTCTCCTACCTGATAAAGGGAAATGAATCCAAAAAAATGCAATTGTTATAAAACAGTTAATTTCTATAAATTCAGTTTTGACTATCATTTTTCTTTTTTTATAGCTTATATAAATATTATAGCTCGATAATTTAACAATAGTTGATAAATGGGTTAAAAATAACAGAAATAATTGATATGTAAAATTATAATATATAAAAAGGTAGTTAAATAGTGCAACCCGCCCTCAATATAAAAGAAATATTGGCAATAATCATGATAATAGACGGAGAATTTATTACAACAGAGTGGACAATATTGGAAATGTCATTGAATTCTAAACATTTTATAAGCAGGCACTTACTATACGCCATGGAAGAGCAATTCAATAAATAATGGGGGATGTCATCAACGACTTCTTCCTCATTTAAATAGCAAAAGGAATCAGTGTTAAAGTTTAATTTGTAAGCAAATGCTGATAAAAGGTTAATACACAGTCTGAGTCGTTAAAAGCTAGAAATGATATAAACTTTAATTATAGGTTGGGTTATTACAGATAAGCTACTCAGCTACACATTGAAGCTAAAATTAGTATAATTTGCCAACAATATTACTTTCCAAAAAGTAATTGTAAAGTTTCAACAAAATTAAATGTGAAAAAAGAGTTTTTTCTGATAGCAAAATACAGATAAATTGTAAAAAGAAATGTTACATTAGCATTTCAGAAAATATCAATTGGTAAATAATAAATCAGTTACCTTCTATAAGTTAAAAATTTTCTCCTTGTATAATTTAGAATAGGCAACATATGTTAAATTATGTAACAAGTGCTACAGTTAAGTAAAAATATAAATTAATAATATGTACTAACCACCACAACCAACTGTTATCAATGTACTAGGAATTGATGCGTTCTCAACCATGTCTTGCGATTCACCGTTATATTCCAGATCAGACATACAACCTTCAAATCCGTGTCTAGAATGAATGTGTTTACTTTGGTGCTTATGTAGATCCTTAGGTAATCCACCTGTTGTTAATTATATTAATTGATATTAAAACACTAATTTAATTTTTACAATAATCTACGAATACACCATGTATATTCTTAGGTTATACGTGTATAACATTTATTAGGTAGTAATTAATACACAAATACTAAGTTTTACATCAACTATTCGTTGATATTTATGGAAAAAATCTTTTTTTTTTAGTCAAAGCTCTAATTTTATTATTTTGTTATAATTTGATTCAGAAAAAAGTGAATTTGATGAAAAATTATTATTATAGCATAATTAGCAACATTATACAGAATGATTTATTAAGTATACGTATCACTTTTACGTGTGTACTCGTAGTGAGTAGTCGTACAGTGCAACAGCGACCAGCCTTATCTATATCATTAAGCTTATCGCCAACTGTGTCGATTGAAAAAATTCAGGTAATATGATTATTTTTATCTACATTACCTACCCACCGTTATAAACTACATCAAACAAACAACAAAAACCCGTCCGACCACTGAACCATGAGTTCGGCCATTACTTTCACGTTCACAATCGATTAATTCTTCTAACATTAATAACTCCAACAAAACGATAACACCGATCAAGATTATTAAAAACTCATCTAACGACGACTCTGTATGGAAAACTGTTCCTATTAGCTCACCATGTCATTCCCCAAAATCAAAAATACAAAAAACAAATTCCTTCTCAAGTCCAAACCGTTACTCAGCTCTTACCATAAATGACCACCCAGAGGAAAATGATATCGAAATGAAAACACAAGATAACCCAAAAGAAGTAAACAAAATTCCACCCATTTACATAAAAAGCACAATTGACTTCTTTGATTTTTGTAAAAAAATAAAACCTCTCACTGAACCTGAAGGATTTACAACAAAAAGTACATCTAACAGTAACAAATTATTGACATACACTATCAATGCGTATAGACAAGTTATAAAACTATTAGAAATAAATAATATAAACTACCACACTTTTCAACTTAGCGACGACAAAGCTTTCAGAGTAGTTATTCGACACCTTCACCATACTACAACAATTAAATTCATCAATACCTGAAATCAATACCAGCTTCAATCAAGAGAAAAATTTTCCCCCTTTAAAAACCCAATGGGCTACCTCACAGCCCCACAATAAGTTTAAACATAACACTTACTCAAACCCCAATTCAAATCATATTAACAATGAACCTCTCTCAAATAAAAATAATGATTCTATCTCAACCCATCTTTCCCATTTCTTAAATGAATTCAAATCCTTAATAAACCCTCTTATCTCCCTACTCACCAAAGTCATCGACTCCCTACTAAATAAATGAATTCTATCCAACCAAACAAATTACCTCTCTCAATCCTTCTTTGGAATGCTAATGGAGTTCAAAACCATTATCACGATTTATCCCTATGTCTAAACTCCAGAAACATCGACATTGCACTTATCACCGAAACCCACCTTACTCCAAACAAAACTATATTTTTCCCGAACTACTCCACCATTCGCACTGACCATCCTGATGGAACTGCTCATGGTGGTTCAGCAATTTTTATCCGTAATAAAATCAAATTCAATATTAGTCCTCCTACTTCTAACCAATCTATTCAGAGCTCAAACATCCAACTAAAAATTAACAATATAAACACTACCATTGTAGCTGCATATTTTCTTCCTGCAAATCCGTTTAACGAAAACATCCTAAACTAATTTTTTTCATCTATTGACAATAACTGCATCATAGGAGGCGATTTTAACTCTAAACACCCATGTTGGGGAAATAACACTACTGACTCCCGTGGTCGTGTACTTTATAAAACCATAAGCAACTCTAACCTTCGCATTGTATCACCAGCGTACCCAACTTACTGGCCAACCCACCAAAACAGAAACCCTGACATACTTGATTTTTTTATAACTAAATTTTCTCCAACCATTCACTATTCTATTTCAAATATAAACGAACTTTGTTCTGACCACACAGCTGTATTACTTTTTTTAAACTCAATCCCCCTTCTCAACAACAAACCAAGTCTCATAAATGGTCCAATGTCCTGGAAAAAATTTAAATTCGTCCTAGACAGCAAAACTAGCCTTAATATTCCTCTAAAAACCAAACATGACATTGACAATGCTGTAATCCAATTAACTTCCAATATTCAAAACTCAGTAACTGTTTCTTCATCCCCCTCTAAATATCCTAACAAATCCAACAACATCCCAATAGTTCTAAAAGAAATGCTAGCAAAAAAAAGGAGAGCCAGAGCGAGATGGCAATCAACTCGTCACCCTGCCGACAAAAATGCACTCAACATTATTTCAAACAAACTAAAAAAAGAATTCTACAAAATCAACACAGAACGCTACGAAAATAATATCATCAAACTCCAAACATCTAACTGCTCTCTCTGGCGTAAAACAAAAAGTATATTAAAACATAGAGAACTAATACCGCCAATAAAACTAAACATCAACCAATTAGCAGTATCTGACATAGACAAATCTAATTCATTTGCTGAATACCTATATGAAGTATTTAAACCCAACAACATAAACCCCTCTGCCAACCATATAAACAAAATCAACAAATCACTAGATAGCCCCCTACCAATGACACTGCCCCCCAAACACTTTTCTCCAAATGAAGTCAAATATGCAATTGGCAAACTAAAGAACGGTAAAGCTCCAGGTTACGACCTTATAACAAATAACATCTTAAAACAACTAACCAGCAAATCTATCCTAAACATAGTCCATATCTTCAATGCCATGCTCAGACTTTCTCATTTCCCCCCAATTTGGAAACTATCAACAATCATAGTAGTGCCGAAACCAGGTAAACCTAAAAATTTAACTTCTTTTTATCGTCCAATTAGCCTCCTCCTTACCTTGGGAAAACTATTTGAAAAACTACTATTAAAACGTCTTCAAAATATTTCAGAAATAAAAAACATCATCCCCTACTCTCAATTCGGATTCCGTGCAAATCACTCTACAATACACCCACTCCATCGTATCACCGATGCTATCTCCTCATCTCTTGAACAAAAAAAATACTGTTCAGGTGTCTTTTTAGACATAGCCCAAGCTTTCGATAAGGTATGGCACGAAGGGTTACTCCACAAGCTAAAATCAAACTTCCCAACACCATACTACTTAATATTAAAATCTTACCTAGACCAACGTTCTTTCCAAGTAAATATAAACAACACACTTTCTAACCATTTCACTATAAACGCCGGAGTTCCCCAAGGCAGTGACCTATCCCCCCTTTTATACTTAATATACACAGCTGATATACCTACATCTAACTTCACAATCTTAAATACTTTTGCTGACGATACAAGCATATTAGCATCAGACGCTGATCCCTTAATAACAAATTTCAAACTCCAACACCACCTCAATCTTTTAGAAAAATGGTTTACCGAATGGAAAATTAAAGTAAATACAACCAAATCAAACCACATCACCTTTTCTCTTCGACCAGACATCTGTCTACCAGTCAAACTCTACAACACTTTACTCCCCCAAAATAATAAAGTAAAATACTTAGGCCTCATTTTTGACAAACGACTAACTTGGAAAGACCATATAACTGAAAAAAGAAAACAATTAAACACCCGACTCCATCTACTTCGCCCTCTCTTACGTTCAAACTTAATCTAAAGCTAAAAACACTCATCTATAAAACTCTTCTCTTTCCACTATGGTTTTATGGTATTCAAATCTGGGGCTGTGCCGCTCCATCCAACATCCAAAAAATCCAATCCTTTCAATCCATTTGCCTACGAACACTCACCAATTCCCCTTGGTACGTCCTTAATAAAACTCTCTATTCAGATCTTCAAATGAGTTATGTTAACAATATTGACAAAACTGCTTACCTAAAACTTCATAACAAATTAACCTCTCACCCAAACCCTAATATTCAACACCTCTATTCAAAACAAATCCCCGACAATCCGCCAAGAAGATTAAAAAGAAAATGGTGAAGAGACCTCTTACAGAAAAAAAAAAAAAAAATGAAATCAAAAAACAAAATTCAAAGTAGATAGTTCCATTGGTTGCCCCCCTACTGCATGCTATTCAAGTCATATTGTAATTTTTTTTTTCACTACTGTTAACCCATTTACGGTTGTGCTTATATTTTGTATAGATGTAAATTTTATAAAGTTATTTGAATAAAATAAATTTTCAAAAAAAATAAAGTATACGTATTCCCTGTTTTCCATAAAAATTTATAGAATAAAATGTTATTTATTTTTATGAATCATGATTAGATTAGTTTTATTATAAATTATAATCAGTTATTCTTAAGGGTGTATTTTAGAGGTAATTTCCAATTGTTAAATGGGAATGTATTATTTTTTTAAATGGGAGAATGATCTAAATATAATGTTGATAGGTTGATAACCAGTATTGTATAATTACTTTTTGAGTTGTTATAATTTTTGTTATTGGTGAGCGGTGTGCGCAGCGTAAAAGAATTCATATCTGTGTTATAGTAAAAATAGAATGTTGCTAAATACTACCGCGCTCCTCACCTTTTCTAAATTTTCAAATACTAATATCCCAAAAATTAGTGATAAAAAACTAGTTATAAACTAATTTTATTCGAACCATTCTCCATTTAATAGTAAAAAAATAATAACAGGTTTCCATTTAACATAAGAAAATATTTTTTTTACAGTAAACATAATAATTACAATAGTTTATAAAAATTAATTAAATTTTAGTCGATAAATTTTTATGGAAAAGTTATTTATTACTAGAAGAAAAAATGGAAGTATTATACTTAATAAATCATACTGTATGTTTTACATTTTCGCTGATATGAGTTTAACAATATCTATTTATTTTATTGTTACATGTTAGCCAAAATGTTATACATTTTTGTGTATAATACAATGCAGTTATAAAATTGCAGAAATTAATTTTGTTATTATGTAAATTTGATAAAATTAATATGGATGGTGTTGCATCTAAAGCAATGATAGTCTCTATTGAACGAATTTAAATTATGAATGAAATACTTTAAACACACACTTTGCTAACATAAATGAGCTTTTATATCGATGTTAATAAATTACTTACAATTACTTATTTATTTTTAATTCTTTTTTTGTAAACTTACCTACATATAACATTCCGTTCAATTGTATATTATGAGGACGTGATACAGAGGTAGTGACAATCACTCGTTCGTCTATCGATAAACTATACAAAGTGGCAGATACTTGGAGTATATGAATTGAATGCCACAAGTTATCATTATATCCCGTTTTGTTGGTATCTCGTAACCGAATCACATGAACTCCTGACCGAATGTTGACTAAAACATGACCGTTGACGATCTCCGCCAAAGCAAAATCATTACTTTTATCTCTATTACTACCTCCATTATAGAAAAATAAACCAGAAGCATGTCTTGTTTTAAAACGAAAGTACACATCTAGCCTAGAGTAAGCTTTTAATGAAGGCAAACCAACGAATGTGTTCTTGGATAAAAACGTTGCAGTGTTGATCAGCGTAGGAGGTTTATCACGAGCAATTTGTAATGCAGTTGCATGTACTTTAGGCAAATCCCCCGAAACTAAAATCAAATAGTTATTTACTTTAAATATCTAGACATTTTTATTACATTAATTGGATAGCTAATGTAACCAATTTACATACATAAATAATAGTATCATGTTTTTTTTGTAATACATTACTTTAAGAATAATTTACATTATTATATATACATGATACGAAGAAGATTTTTTTAAATAATTTTTGTCTAAATAATAAAATATATAAGAATAAAACTTACAGCCTTTGGCGGATATTTTTGAAATTTCTAAAATATTTATTTTATTTATAATGAACTGTTGCATGCTGCCAATAAAACTTGGCAAATCAGTCAATGCTTCTGGATCTTTAGGTGGTGATCCACCAACTAACAAACCCTGCCATCTGAGTGTAATAGTGTTGTCCATAGCAGAATCATCTGGAAAAAAAAATATAATCTTACTATGTAATTTATTCCTTTGATAGAGGTGATAATCTACCTTTAGCAGTTTCGTTATCAACTCTTAGTCTGATTTCATGACCTCTTCTGGCGTAATATACTGAATGCCAGTTGTTGTCATCTAAATGTGTACCACAAAGAACAACCTACAAATGTCATTTTTGATTAAAAAAAATTTACATTATACTAGTTGCAATTCAGAAAAGTATAAAATTGTCAATGGTTTTTGAATTAGTGGTAGTTATAAATTATTACATTAGATTTTTGTTTATTGTTAAGCAGCTAAGTAGTTTAATAATTACAAATTAATTAGTTTTCAGTTAGTTATTACAAATTGTTAAATTTGATTACAATATTAAGAAACGTATGTTTTGATTTGAATAATTTTCATAAAAAATAACAATAAATAAAGAAAATCGTGACTACTTACGTAACTTAAATTTTAAATTTTTTTGTAACTAACATACATACATCACACATGTACAATGAGTATAATAATTTTTACCTTTTCTTTGTCACCAATTTTTAATGCTAATCGAATTTTGCCCACAATCACTGCGATTTCTAATCTATCCCATGAACTATCAAATGTCTTCATCAACATAGCAAGTGGCCTATTAGTTTTAAACCTAAAGAACATATCCTCTGCTTGAGTGGTCATTTTATCTGACATAACTGCTTGAATATATTGGGTTCCGTTGAAACTATATGCTGCAGTTTCTATAAAATAGATATAATTTGTTGTTCACAATGATTAATCTAATGAATTAGATTTAAAATCTAAGATACAGTTATAAAACACAAAATAATCGCTTAAATAAGAAACGTGTAATATCTTGTAGTGACACCAGTTTTGAATTCAAAATTATTTCTAGAGGAAGCTCTAAACAATAAAATAACATATTACTACTCATTACAGTTGTCTTTAACATAAAACTTAAGTTAGTATATAAATATATTGGAGTATAAATGAAATGTATATGTGTTGGGTACTGAGTGTGATCTGCCTTAACAGGTTTATGGGTAATGTATATTGGCCTACATATTTCTACAGTAATTCATTAACTAGGTTGTTTTTATTTTTTAATATTGATTTATCAATTATCACAAGCCACTTGATACACTCAAAATAAAGTTAATATTTTTAAAAAAAATTGTTTTGATTTCATTTAATTTATCAGTTAATAATGACTTTTTACAATCATCTCTTATAATTAAAGGGGTGTCAGCTTAATTTTTTTAAATGGCAACATACATATTTAATTAACTTATAAAATAAGAAATAATCTAATTAAGATAATGACTCGTCAATAAAAACTTTTGGACTAGTATTTCAGAAGTTATTAAAAAATAAGTGATGACTGGAGGTAAGGATTGGGTGCTATTCTTTTTATCACTAGTCATTTTCCATCCGTGCTCTTTGTCCCGCTTAGGTATAAAAACCCAGCACAGTGGGGTCGCGGCATAGTGGGGATGTTGCATAGTTGGGTCCAGTATAGATTTAATCTGACAGTGATTAAAATCACTATCATAAGAAACGCTTCGATGCAAATCAGTAGATAGTGTTTAATTCTAAGAAATTGGTGGATAATTACAAAAGCTACATTATCTGCTAGTTTCTTATTAATACCCTGATTAAGATAAAGTATGTCGAATGAAAAAGGGATTATTAAAAAATATTATTTCTCATAAAAAAATTGTGTTGATTCGTACACTTTTCAATGAGTTATAGCATTATAAAGTTAAAAATGTAACCAACCCAACCCAACATCAACTCCTATTTCCTTAATTATATCCAGATTAGTAATTATTTTAATTATATATTATATAATTTTTATAATTAATTATTTTCAAATTATTATTGATTTTTAATATGTTAAAAGTAATCATTTTGAACCTACTTCTTTTTGTTCTTTAAAGTGAAAGTTTTAATAAAAAAAAAATGAATTTATTACCATAACTTTTAACTCAACTTGCAAGTTTGAAATAAATATTATTAAATAGAAAAAAAT